CTGAAGTCAATGAACCACCATCACCCCAGTGACAGCTGCTAAGGACAAATAACTTTAAAAGGCAGTCTTCTGCTGGCTCCAATCTCCGATCCTTTACCAGAGCAAGTGACGGAATGCAGTGGATTCACTCCAGCCATGGACAAACTCTTCAATTCATTGCCATTTAAAAGCTACAGCGGACGGTGAACTCCTGGCCCTGAGAAGTACCTGAGCACAACCCGCTGGGGCTGAAAAGCACTTCAGCACCTTGGACAAGAAGAGCAGGTTCAGTCTCTCAGCCAACGAGCACAATGAAAGCACAGTGCGGCTGTCCCGTGCTTCTCCCTGTACTGTGTCATGCACACACTTGTACGCGTAGGCACAAATGCTGAAGTAGGCAGCTTGTATGCTGCCACCACAGCAAAAAAAAAAAAAACAAACCCAAAAAACAAAACCCACCACACTCACTGAACACCACTAAATTCTTCTGCTAAGTACAGGTACTGTACTTTAATTTACAGGTACTGGGGTCATGACATGTGGCTGGATTTAATGAGCCTATAAACAAACCTCAGTGGAAAGGGATTTTAATCTAAACGCAAAGTTGGTTGCTTTAAGCATAAATGTTATTACAGCTTTTCTAATAACCACCTCTATCACCTATGACAAAATGCAAGACAAACAGCTACCGGTAACTATTTTTGCTCCCTTCTTCAGGCAAGGAACTTAACTGCTTTTATTCTCTAAAATAAAAGTCACCTTGCACACCATCTTGACACCCAAAGCAGTCCTAAATCTGACAAAAGCTCTAGCCAAGTGTCTGGCATCTGCTTCAGTTCAGCTGGCTGCACTGGTAGGTTTAACAGCAAGAAAGTCACCATCACAAAAACTGTTGTTTTGCTCTAGGACACACGCTCTGTGTCCTAGAGCATGGTCAGACCATCCCCCTGCCTCCCCCTCCCCAGCCCCCTTTTTTTTTTTTTGGGGGAGAGGAAGGAGGTAGACAAAACATGGATAATCTGTTTCCTCCTTTATTTACTGATATGCTAAAGCAGCAGCTGATGTGTCTCAGTTTTAAGGAGATGAGCTGCTCTCACCCACTCCAGAACTACTGCATTTATGACTGTGAAGGCAGTTGCAGATCCGAAGCAGAGTCCCCCCAGCTAACCCTTCCCCTGATAACTCTTCTACCCTGTCCCTTGCTAGGAGCAGAGCTTGAAGAAGATCACTGCACCTCTGACATAGCTCCCAATCACCGATTCTGTCATCCCCTCCCAAATCCACTGCAGATTCTCCCTGTCATTACATACACACCAAATATGAGACTAAGGGCAGGACCTAGATGAGAGCTGCTGGCTGACTTCAGATTAGAGGGCATCAGAGTGCAACTATGTGGTCATAACCTAGAGAATTACATCAAATTCTTATCTATACCCAGCCTCAGGGCACCTTCTGCACAAACTGTTAGATCCAGACAGTTCAAATAGCAACCACTCATCTACTTCGAACCATATTCCTGGATGTGTGTGTGTGTGTGTGTGTGTGTGTGTGTGTGTGTGTGTTCTACCGGTTTTATTATAGTAAGGGTCAAAAATAAGACAACACTAGGAACATCAAAAGGCCTTGAAAGTGCTGAAGGAGACACACACAAACATTTTACTCTCAGACATGTTATGGTTACATGAATACTTCCCAAGTGCCATAGTTCAAATAAAAATATATTCATACAAATTTAAAAAAAATACAATTTATATACACTGTGGAATTAGCTTACATCATCTCATAACAAAAAAACAGTGCAAAAAACAAATGGAAAGGTAAATTGCTACCATTGGAATGGCTCACAGTAAGTTAACAATTCAAAACTGCATATTAACACTGCACAGGAAACCATGAGGCAGGGAAGAGCGCCCCATACTACCCCTAACTCTTTGCCATTGATACTAATCCAGTTCTTGATTACTATTCTTGTAGTGTTGCTCTGAGTAAAAGGTTACAGGCACCTGTGTTAGAAGTAAGTTTCTTGGTAAATCACTGAGCAGCCAGAGCCAGAACAGAAGCAGTTAGTTTGTTGTAAGAAAGGAGTTAAACAACCAGCTAAGTGTGAGAACAAGATTGATCCAATACACAACCCTTTGTACCAGTCCTTAGTCAGAAGTGACGTGCTGCGGCTTCAAACATCACACAATCTAGCGATTCCCTTTCTGAGAGCTACATCACCAGTAATTAATTGCACACTGAAGATTTCCTTTTAAAGCAGTTCAGAGTCACCCACCATCATTAGTTAAATCTTCTTCACTTAAAGAGTGAAAGGGGTGCTTGCTTTCCAGCTGAAACTTTTGAGTAAGATGGATGCATAGGCAGAGCAGACAGTATTGACAGCAGGCAGCCTTCTACTGGGAAAGCACAGCTGGTGCTCAGACAAACCTTGGCAAGATCTTCCAGCCTGCCTTGTCTGGATTGCCTAACTCTGGGCCCCAGCAGTAAGGACAAGATATCCGGCAGCAAAATACACTGCCGCAGCTTGTGTACAGCAACAAAACAGAACATGACTGCCTCAAGGTAACAAACAACGTAAGGAGCCCTATTCACGTGCAGAGAAAGAAGGAACCTTCCACACACAATGACTCAACGTGAGCAAGAGGAACAGGATTTGTCATGGAGGGACATAGGGCATTTTTGACAGGTACTCAGAGCACGGAATAGGTAATTCCACATTAGGGTGATCTGACAACCCATCAAAGCAGGTCTTCCTGTGATTTGTAACTGCCCAAGAGCACAAACCCTTTGAATGAAAGGAAGGTTAACAGAAGCATACTTCAAACCCTCAGTCCCCCTTCAGGGAGCATAAAGGGGCACTAGGAGTTTCTTTTAGTAGCTCAGCTCAAGACTAGAGCCCAGAGAACACAGGCTCTTTAGAAGTCATCTTTAGAAACTAACCGGAGAAAACAAACATCCTTACTCAACTTGCATAGAAACAGTTTGCAAGTCAAGAGCAGAAGCCAGTTCCAACTGCTATGGCCATTCAGAACCAAACAGTTAGACTTGCCTTAAGGGCCGCACAGCTATTCAGGGACTGAACTCTCTCTGTTAAGTAAGGTGGGTCCTCATGACAACAATGCCGCTCCTGTCCCAGTGAAGAAGTCCAAGTTGAACACACAAGGTAGGTACTGCTTCCAGGAAAATATCTTCACTTTACTCTAGGAGTTTAAGAGCTGGCATGCCCTATCTGAAACAGAACTAGGATTTTCAGAAACCAGCAGAAATATTTTTAGTGGTGGAGACATGCTGTTGCTGCAAGCCCCACAGTAAAAACGGGGAAAGAATGCTGTATTCCCTGCTCTTTAGGTAGGCCAGCACCCAAACAACCTTGGAAAGTGCCCGCGATTAACAGAAGGGTTCCGGGACACACAACTTCCTTTGCAACAGCTGCCACGGCATGTACCACAGCTCATTCCTTCCTTTGCAGAAAGGTTTTATTATTATTCATTAACATCCATTCCTCAAAGCAGAGATCTGCCATTTCTCTTTCAATATGAGGGCAGGAAGGAAAGAACACCAAGAGAAAAAGGCCTCCAGATACCAATGGGAAGGAATACAAAGAAAAAGTACTTATCAACAGCTTTGCTAAAGACAAACTTTCCATCTGAGCTGTGCCATGCCCTGCATTAGAAGGACCAATTATACCCTAAAACTTAGCCTTAGGAACTACCTGCAGGACCAAGCTCTCTCTCTCATCTGCAGGACAAAATGTATGCCATGACTCAGCTGTCTCTGCTACAAGCACAGCCAGAGAATAGATCTGTCCCCCAGCTACTTGGATTGCAAAGATTGCACGGGCATCCAGGCAATCTGCATTCTGCAATGGCAAAAAGTGACTTAAAGAGCCACACCAAGAGCATGGCTGGTGTCCTGGACACAAAACCTCCACCTAGCCCCAACTGTAGTAGAGCTCATCAGCCAGCAGCTTGCAGAGCACTGCCCCGGAACAAGCAGCTTCCTCAAAATCAGTCAAAGAGGCTGATCTAACAGCTTCAGCGTCTTGACACTTGCACCTTGCACATAATGAAAGGGCCCCACTTCCCTACACTTAGCCAAGAGAACCTTCAGCACAGATCTGTTCCGGAATTTAGAAAATACAATAACGTCTGACTTTCTCCTGCCACAGGTAACTCATTTAGCTAGACCCCTTATGGCAGGCAACAGGTTAATAGGAATGCTCAGAGGCTGCAGAGAAGCTTTCCCAGGGATACATTCCCCATGTTACTTGGCCCAGTCTCTTGGCTGAGAGAACGGTCTGTGCTTTATCAAGCCAATCAGTTCTACATCCCCCAGAGGCACAAAGCTGGCTTCCCACTGAGAGTTATCTGTATGCAAAACTCACAAGGGCAGGTGCCTGCTGGAACAATACAGGTGCTGGCCAGGATGGTACCTGCTAAAGCACCAAACTGGCTGCAACTGGCTTTCAAGAGCTGATTTTACCCTAACAGACGGCTGTTGCCATTGCTAACGTTATCCTAAGCATTTTCAGAGCCACAGACAGCCCCAGTCATCACCCCCCAGCAGAGTCCTGCCTGTCAGTCATCAGCACCAAGTATCCCTCCTATACGGGAGCCTGAAGTTACACCAGCTCCTCTCGCTACACAGAGATAAGTCAGCCAAGCCCAGAAACAGGGTATCAGTTATAGTTGCCTCCAGGAGGCAACGCTACCACCTCCCTATGCTTGGACAAAGTGGGGTTCCCTAGTCCACAGCCCTAGCTAGAAAGGTGTCCTCAGCTCTCACTGCTGGATCAGTATAAGGACGCAGCGCTTATGAATGCTAAGAAATGCAGGAGTGTCAGGGTAGTGACAAAGTGGAGTGCCACAAAGTGCCTTACAAGAGTCTCTTACAGGGAGATAATAGCAGCAACAACTAACAAGGAAAAAGGGATCTCCCTCTTCTGAGATGCTCTGCAAGTGTACTATACATTTATAAACCCAAATAGTAATTGGAACAGAACAGTTTTGGATTCCTGACTTACTGAGATGCTCTCAGAAGTCAGCTGCTGTCAAAAAAAGTCATAGAAGTGACTCCCTTCCCTGAAAGGAGGAGAGGAATTAGAAAAAGCAAGCCGTTGGAAAAATACGGGCAATGGAGCACTGGCAAGGCGAGATGCATTTCCAGAGTCTTTTTTTTAATACTGCTTTCAAGAAAAGCTATCCTCCAGAACAGCTACTTGAAACTGCAAACTGCAGTATCTCCTCTCAGCCTTGGCAGTGACCCCCTTCTCACACAAATAAGGCAACAGGTGCAGGAACAAGGGAGGAAGAGGAAAAGGGAGACACAGAGAAGGACAGGGAAAAGATGCTGCAGTTCTCTGCACAGGACACACTGGAACTAGATCATCCTTTTTTCCAACCATCTTAAAAAAAATAAACAAAAACCCCCCAAAACAAAGTAGGAGAACGTACATTGTTAAGACAACATTTGATGAAAGGAGATAGCTGGGGCACAGGAAGAGAAAGAATTTGGATCAAGAGTGGTCAAACCAAGTGCCTGAGACCAGTCAACAGCTCTGGACTGAGGCAGCTCCTCTAATTCTCTGGCTAGCAAGATGTTTTCCAGTTCCCCAGGCTTGATATGCGTGTGAGAAGCCAAACGGCAAATCTTGGGCCTTGTGGGGTCCAAACAGAATGCGAGCGCGTGTGCAGGCTTGGAAGAAGGAGGTAGCCACACTGACAGTGGGGCAGGGTGGGCAGGGGCATCAAATGGTCTGATAGTGTTGTCTCAGTCTTGCCTGCAGAAATTCGTGGGTCAGGTTGTGCCGAGTGATTATCCCGACAATCTTAAAGAGGAAGAAAAGAGGAAAAAAGATACAAGTCAGTATCACAGATGTGCCACTAAGAGACATGCATGGCAGAGCTGCTGTTCTTTCCAACCCCAAAAAACAAGAGGGAACCTACAAACAGTTCTTGACCAAAACAGAGTTAGAATGGGTTCAAGTTCAAACCTTGCCAAAACAATCCCCCCTCTCCCAGAACTTATTTAAAGGCAATGAACACTGCTCTAACTACATCCAAACAGATAGCTCAACTGCTGCTGTTATGTTTGGACACAGCGATAATCACCCCTCCTAGGAAGGGAAATACTTTCTTCTTCTATAAAGCGTCCTTGTTAGAGCACATGACTGCAATTAAACCCTATGGAAAGTAAAAACTATGATTGGAAATGACCAAGCTGTGTCTTACAGCTTCATTATAGACTTATCTATCCGGTTTGCCACCTGACAGGACTGCAGACAACTCACATCACATACCTTCCGGGAAGCTTTAAAGAGCAAAAACGGAGAGATGCTAGAGACTAGTTAAGCGCTGACTGCACACTGGTCATGACTAGCTGGCAGGTCACAAAAGGTGCCCTCTTCCAGCCTGCTAGGGGAACTGTTAAACCAGCATTTCAATGGATGAAACACCTCAGTGATTTTACACAGTGGAAACTAGGCTGCTCTCTAGTACTGCAAGAGCATCTTGTACTAAATGCGGAACCAGACAACAGCTCTTGTTTTCAACATACGCTCTGTGGGGTAGCTATTTGGAACCCTGTCAAGTGGGAAAAAAAAACAACCAAACAATCAACATCCACTACTGTCTCATAGGACAGACCAGTTATGGCTATCGCTGTCAGGATTTTTTCCTGCTCAGGCTGAAAGGAAATATGGTTTGTCATTATATTTATAAGCAGCTACTGACACCTGCTGTCTATTCCTGAGCACTGTAGAAGGCAAAGAGATGACTGAAGCGACTCAAGCACAAGCCATTCAAAGGCTTCTTTATTTTGCTGCTCCTACGAGTAAGGACAGAATGCAAGCTCCTGTCCAACAGGAAAACCTCCTACCCCAACACACAGGAAATTCTGCCCTTGGCCTTGGAGAAAGCTGTCAAAGAGGAAGCCAAATTAGCGGCCCCTGATGAGCTCAAGGTCTCTCAAGGGATACAAGACAGCAAGAGCCTCCACTTGCTGCCAACCAGAGACAGAGGAGAGAGCAAGTCCTGCCCGTCTTGGGAGGGAGGAGGCTTCAACGCAACGGATGGTAATGAAGTCACAGCAATCAATGATATTTCAGGGCCTCAAGAAGATCACAGGCTGATCCCATTAAAACTTATCTGTTTCATGCTAAAAATGGATCATAATTCTCCCAAAGGGCAGAGCATTACAAAAACATAGCTGCTTCCTTGCTCAACCAGAACAAAATGGAAGTAAGGACTCACCTCTCCCACTGCATTCACAACTGGTAAATGTCTGAGTCCCATTGTCCTGAATAGGTTGAAGACTTGTGACACATGAGTGTTCGGAGAGACAGCAAACGGTGACGGGTTCATGTATGGTGTGACATCCTAAGTAAAAATCAGAATGACATAATTTACAAGATGCATTTTCAGTACCTCAGTGAATCACTAACAAAATTCCTGCGGTTCCTTAGCGTTGACTCCAATTCACTGAACTCTGGACAGGGTATTAGACTGTAGGCACCTTCTATTTCTCCACCAATATGAAACCATTTCACTGTCAAGAACCTGAATTTGTCACAAGAGCCCTGTGCTGCGGAAAGCCTCTGAGAAGGAAAAAGCAGGTCCATGAAAATAAGAATCTACACCAAAAAAGCACTTTGGTCTACGCAGGAACCTTCCTGCCACAAAAAGAATGACAATCCTGCCACTGACCGAGTTAGCAGCACACTGCTGGTAGCTCAGATAGATACCAGCAATCTGCCCATCCCGTCTCACTGAGGCAAGAGTCTAATCTTTCAGAGTCTTACTCTGAAAGTACAGCAGCTATGTGGGACATTATCTCATAGGAGGTACGAGAAGTGATTTTCACATGCAGACAAGGCTGGCTGAACGCATGGAAAGTACAGGATGTTTGTCACTGCACCCAGTAGACTTGAACCTGCTCTCAGCCTTTAAGGAAAGGGAAAGTGTTTCAACACAGGATTGAAGATTTACTACTGAGTCTACCCAGTCTGAGTTCATAGAGGAATATATAAACATTTAAAGGTTTGGGACAGTCCTAAACATGTATTAGGAAACACTGTTACATTGCAGTGCATTTCTTACCACTATCATGCGAGGGTTCAGCAACGTGAGGTCCAGGTCATGGATATCCGGATAGCGGGGGTAATCCTCTGACATCTCCGCATGGGACAGACGAGGCTGACTTGCGCTCTACAATTAAAACAAATTCCACTGAACAGATTTGTCATTTTCCCAGACAGTACAGTGGTGCGCAAGCAGCACAGCAAACACCACCTCCTACTCCCCAACGCTCATCCAGATTTTCTCCTCCCCCCATGCCCACACTCCAACCTCTGGAGAGGCGCTTGTAGCGGCTCCTCTCACTTTGCAGCAGTGCAAGGCTAAAATCTATACGAGGCATTTAACTGAGGGAATGATGGACCTGCTCTCCCAATCATGACAGATCTATACTCAACACTGGAGGGCAGCAGCAAACAGCCTTGTGGAAGATAGGCCTCAAATACAAATACTGATCTCAGTGATATGGCTGATACTCTCCTGGTAAGACACTAGCACAGAGCAGTAAAGACACACAGTATATGCTGCTGGCTGCCCTATTCCTATTTAGGATCTGCCCTCCATGTTCCAGTCCTGACGGGACTACACCGTTACGCAACAGATAGTTACTTCAAACAATAATTGTACTTTTTTCCAGGGGGGGAGCCTTAAACAGAAATTCAATTCTCTTCATTCTAAAGCTGCAATTCAGCAGCAGAATTAATTCAGCGTTATCCAGATGCAGCTTTTAAGGCATAAGGTGCTTTTCTTAAAGCACAGAAGTAGGTAAATTATTTTTGGCAACCCATGAATATTATCCCCATCCTCTTAGCTGAGGGAGTTGGAGAGGTCTCTGCTACACCTCCAAATCAGGAAGACTCACCGACTGGCTCTCTGAGTAACAAACTCCCCTGACAAGCAAGGTGACCAGCTGCGAGCGCAAGATCAAGCCATGGAAGGTCAGAGGTCTGAAGCGTTCCTCCATGGTCCACTCTTCACTGGGCGACTGGTCAGGGTAGAGGTTGGGGTAGGGAGTATATCTGTGACATATTTAGCATCACATGTTATAAATTGCAAGAACTTGAGGATATACCCTCCAAAAAAAACCAAACACAACAGCTATCCAGCTCTTTGTCAGGAGTCACCTGAAGTCTTGAGGAGAAGGTTGCAGAGACAAGCAAGTCTTTTCGCCACAGCAGAGAGCAGTCAAGTGCCACTACTGGGGCAGAGTATTTCAACAGTGGCAAAATGCAGACAGTCCCCCTAACTCCGTTTCAGATCACTCATTCCCAAATCACTTTTCAATTCCAGATTACTCTGATTTTAAAAAACGCTGAAGCATCTGATTAAGTAACCTCATATTCATGACTCTACTCATAAATGTCACAATCACTAGGTTAGCAACTGCTTTATTGGATTGGGCTTCTGCTTGAAAATAATTGCAATACAAGCCTAGTGACTCAGCCCAGTCTCCAGAAAAGTGTTACCAGTATTACAGCAGCAGGCCATTAGCTCCTTCCCTCTGGAGCAGGGGGCTTTGCAGCACCCTCAGATTTTCGCAGGCAAGACAGCATCAGTTTCTAAAGACAGGGCATTTCCCCTGGCATTCCATCCTCTCCAGGAAATATTTCTGGATGAGGGTTCAAACAAAATTTAAGTTAACAGCTTGGACACCATCAGGCATTAGCCTAGGACTCGGTCACAGGTGTCTGGAGCCCCAGCTCTAGCTGTTGAGACCTGGCAAGTCACTTCCTTAAAAATGGGGATACTAGCACTGCTTCCTCTGACATAGGGGATAACAGGAGCTGTATGAAGCATCATGAGAAACACCCCGCTTCCATGCATTTGTCCCTGCCCAGATCTCACCTTCTCTCTAGCATCTGCTGCAGCAGATCCTCCTTCTCTGGTGGCTCCTCTGTTATGTGCTCATCGCACATGTTGCGCAATTCACTTGAAGGGTAGGATTTCATGGACTGACTCCGCTTGCGCTGCTCTCCTGCTCGGGTAAGGATGCTAGATTTCTGCACACAACAAGCAGTTTTCAGGTACCCACTGAGCAGGTCAACAATTATCACAGAGTGACTATTAACTATCAGATTACAGCTTTATATCACTAGATAAGGCGTTTCTCAGTCACTGCTACTACAGGTACTTGTAAGAACCACCAGAAGGACTGTATTCTCACTGGGCAGAGAAGCTGGAGTTTAAAAAGTCTGACACCCTTTCTGCTAGGGCACGAGCACATCACAAATACATTCATTTTCCACTCCCCTGACCTTCACCCGGTTTTTAAGTTTCCCAAGAGACTAAAACATCCTCCCCATTCCCCTCCCACAAAGGGGAGAAACATTTAGGCACCTAAAAACTGATCTCAACAGTGGGTTCAGTACTTCAGTGCTGAATCCAAACCTTTTTTCACCTCTACCCTAGAGAGGTTACTCAGAGAAGCAAAAGTTAAAAGGGCCCTGAGCGTAGCCCATTATTCTGCCTTTGCATGCGACTAGAAGAACAGATCGAAATGGAGTCCTCAAAAATTTCGCATTGCAGTAGGTGCTTTAGTCTGAATCCTGCACTGTCAAAAACCTAAACAACATCGAAAGGTGCCTTCCACCTGCACAACATAGCTCTTTACTCTTCAACTTATTGAACAAGCCGCTTCCTACCTTGAATTTGATGTTGTTGCTTATCAGCTGATTTCCCTTCATGAACTCCCTCTCATTGCCGCGGTTCTCAGTCACTACAGGGAAGGCATGATGGACAGTTGTGCGCAAGATACTGACAAGGGACTGGATCCGGGTGTGGGGGTAGACGTATGTCAGATTGGGTTCCATTATGTCACTGGCTCGTAGCCTGAGTAAACAGAAAACCAGAACTGCTGCATGCACCACGTCAGCGACAGAAGGCTGGTGATGGAAAAGAAAGGAAATAAACTAGTCCCAAAAAGAGATCCTGAAGCAATCTGCTGTGGTTTAGTTCTGCCAGGTCCTTGCACCGCTGTGGACATCCTTGCTGCTCTTCTAGTAGCCTTAGCACCTTTCCCCCTCCCTGCCTTTTTTTTTTTTTAATAAAATATAACATCATATCAATGACGCATTAAAGGCAAGGACAAAGGTTCCAATTCAGGATAACGTAGCAGGTACTTACACACTACTGGGAAAGGAAGGCAGGAGGGAAGAACATGAAATTCTGCAAGGAGCAGAGGCCAGCGCAACAGCATTTTCACCAAGTTCTTGCTGAGCCTCAAAGATTTGCTCTCAGACCTCTATTTCTTCACTCCTCCTCCTCAGAAAGGGCTCTAGCACATCTTTCCTGCTGTCGGCTTCATGCACAGCTTCCAAACCCTCTCATAGCAGCTGATGCAGCCAAGTTAATCCCTCAAACTACATCATTACTTTCTGAGCCAGAACCTACGACAAACTGACCCACAGCCCTGCCAAGAAGAGTGACCTTACTTATCCATTTCCACCTCTGTTTCCCACTCCAGGAGGGGCACTCCTCGCAGGTTCACATGGATGTCATAGATGCCTTTGTTGAAAAAGTCTCCTGTCCATTTGGCTACCTGCAGAGCAAACAGAAGGTCTACTGAGTTGCTGCTCCAGGTTCAAGACTCCTTATCTCACAGCCTGGGAGGGGCAGAGAATCAGAACTAGCCAACGTTCAAGCATAGAGCAAGAAGCCAGAACTAAGATCCTGCACTCACCATGAGGGTAATCATTATTGGGAGCCCGTAGGTGATCTCATTGGTGGATTCGATCAGGATGACAGTCAAGCTAATCGTCATGCGGACCACTCCTCCCAGGAATGCTGCTGCCCCAATCAGTGCAAAGGTTCCCGAGTAGATGTGATCCAAGCCAATATAGCTAGGGTGAAACACAGAGCCCCGAGATCAGAATAACTTAACTGGGAGATCAGTGTGCATCTGCAGCGCATCTCTCACACACACACTCAGTGCACCTTTTGAGGAGGTTGGCGACCAGGCGTCCGAAGGCAGCCCCACAAAGCAGTGATGGCACAAAAAGACCACTGGGCACAGAGATCCCATATGTCCAGCAGGAGAGTAAGAAATAGAGAAGGAAGAACAAGGAGAGTGTGACTGGGCTGAAAGTACCTGCAACACAAGAAGAATCATGACTAAAGGGGCACAGGCCTGTTGGACCAAGCTGGTAGTCTTGAACCATCCACCCCTCAGCTCACAGCAGACTCATCTCACAACAGCTCTCTAATCTCACAGCATAAACACATGTGAGGACACTGAAGGAATGGGGGGGGGGAGGGGAGAAAAAAAAAAAAGAGAGAGAGAGAAAGAGAGGAAAAGTAGGCCTTACTTCCCATGCAGAGGGCCTTCACCTAGTATACTGCCATACCCTCAAAGCCATGAAGGCCTGAAGATGTCCTTAGCCTTGTGATTCTTATGACAATATGGTTTCAAGCAACAGGAAGCTCTTAAGCCTAAGCATGGTATGGGTACTGTCTCCTAGCTACTCACCATCCTGGTGGAAGAGCTGCAGGATAGCTGACTCCTGGGGGTTGAAGAAGAGCGTTGCCATGTCATTATAGGTTTCATTCGGGCAGAAAAAAGTTTTGATGCTTGAATTCACATCCTCTGACATACTCTAATGCAGAACACAAAGGAAAAAGTTAGACTCCAGTCCCTACTATGTTTTCCTTTGTGCAGAATGGGAGTAACTCTGCTGTGCAGGGCTTTCAGCACATGCTTTGGGAAGTTCAGTCCAAAACATGAATAGCAGATAAGGGCCTGCAGCACAAACAGGCTCCCTGATTCACAGCTTGAGCTGCTTTGCCAAAGTAGGAAAGCACAAAGGGCAGCTTTCATCGCCACTCTGAGCTCCTACCAGCGTATGCAGGCTTTCACTGAAGTTCTGCGCGTGCATTGTATGTTGTCAAGAGTTCATTTTATGCCAGTGCTTCTCTGGAGGATGATTAATACTACGGGAGCATACACTCTTCATATAAGAGCCCTTACCTGCAAGCTCAGAGTACCATTGCCACTATGAGCGGTGGAAGACATCTGCCGGCATTCCCCCAGCACCATGGAGGCTACAAAGACCACGACCGTAGTAGTCAGTGACACCAGCAGGCTCTCCAAGACTCTGCAAGCACACAGCAGAAAACATGCACTGAAGCCACACTCAGCCCTTTCACCCAGTCCCAGGTTTGCACACAGCTCTGAAGAGGCTGCAGAAGGAAGTAGCCTCAACAGCTACCACAATTTGTTTAACGTGTAGAACAGGGGACCCTACCCAGTCGAGTCAAACTGACTTGGCTGCCAGGGATTGCATTAACTGCACTTTTTTTATTGCCTGCCCCAAAGAGGAGCTATTTCTGCCCAGAGAACAAATGGCAGTCGCATATAAAAAGCCATACAGAATGGTTCTGTGACGAGGCTGTTCACATGGAAATTATGTTTTGTAGATTCTTACGAGGTAAAAGCCAACCCTCTCTAGACAGGATTGGACAGTACGAGCTGTAGTCTCTACCTTTTCCTTTCCTAGCATGCAAAATACGGTTTTGTTTTTTTTTTTTTAACCTGGGCTTCTAATTTAGGAATTTTGTCTACAACAGACAAACAGCTACTTTCCAGAATTACAGGGCAATCCTCTCTCTGAAAGGCACAGATAGAGACCAAGGGTGGATTTAATTAATCAGGATAATTAAAAAATGAATAGGATCAGTTATTTCTTCCACATCTGTTTGGTCATGACATAGAAAAATACTGCATGGAGATAAAGCTCTGGTTTGTTCAGCTATAGCAGTTGCTATAAAGAGCTCCCTTCATAGAACTTACAAAGGGATCTCAGCTCTCTTTATACCACCTACAGAAATGGAGAAGGACGTTAACATCTGGCTGCTGGTACTCCCTTTCAAGCTCCAGGGATGTTTCATTTTGTGACTTCAATAAGAATAGATCTGGGACCTCCTCAAATCGCTCTCACTGAGCCTTCTAGATCAATGCCTTTGCTTTAGGGCACTGAACAAAGATCAGAGATTCCTGCTCAAGCTCAAGGGAGCACAAATACCTGACCAGCTTTGGCTTGGGATGAACGTTCCGCATACGGTACTTTGCGAGTCTCTTGTTCAGGCAATTGAAGGTGGCTCCAAGAAGACCTCCTACAATCCCCATCAGAATGAAGAAGCCCAAGTCCACAGCTGTCCAGAGGTGGCATTTTTTATCAGACTCAGAGCACTAAGGGCAGAAAAGCATAACAACGCATCAGAGTAGTTGCTGCGATTCCTTACCAACACTGCTGTCTCCACAGCAGAAGACTTTCATCAGCAGTGACCAAAGGGGAACAATTCTGTCTCATGCTCTAAACATTCCAGCCAAATGTCAGCTACCTTTCACTCGAATACAAGTACGTAGCTACAAAACCAGCACGAAACACCAAACCAAGACGACCAGAGGGGAAAAATACAACATGACTAAAACTTACTTTAAATTCCCCAAAGTTCAGCAGCCCAGGGAGCTGGAAAGACCCCCAACTTCCAAATTGAATCCCAGAGCGGAAGAAATTCAGGGTGAAGGTGGCGGCCATGGAACAGAAAAGCTGAGGAAATAAAGTCGGAAGAAATTAACACTTCCTTGAGACTTACAGCTGGGAAAGGGAACCTCAGAGCCTTCTGGAACTTTACAAAAATGGTCCTATTGAGGTTTAACACCCATTCCCTCCTGCAAAAAACATGAGAGCTAGAACGGTCCATTATAAACATCTCATCTGCTTCCTGAACAAGAAGTCAGGAATTTCACCCAATTATTCCTGCAGTGAAAGCTTATGATTTGTCACAGATGCTGATTTGCAGTTGAAAACTAATTACAAGGCACTAACGTAGCTTGTTAAGAGTTAGAATTGAAGTCTTCATTGGCTCTGACAGAGTTGCAGGACATTTGGCATAAGAAATACGAAAGGCATCATGAAATCCAATACGTTTTCAGAACGCCGTCAACTCTGACGAAGCAAGCACCGAAGGCAAAGAAATTGCCAACCTGAAGGTGCAGGACATTGCTGCAATACAGCGCTCCTCAAGGCGGAGGGGAGCAGAAAGAAATCCAGCACCTACTCACTCTGCTCCCACAGGACCAGGCTGCAAGGAGCCCAGGCATAAAGCCCTTTCTCCCCACCTACACTAAATCTGCTGCCTGGAGCTGTCCAGCAGTTACAGATATCAGCAGACTCATCTGCTCTTGATCCTCTGCCACAGTATTTCCTGGTCACCGATAGAGCAGGCAATATCTCTTCTGCCAAGAGATTTCAGGAGGAAACACAGGAAAATCTGAATGCCCTCACAGGCACGCCCTTCCCAAGGTCCCGCTCGGGGATGAGAGGCATAGAAAGAGCCAGTCATTACTCACCACTTTCCATGTAAGCCCCTGGTTCCAGAAGGAGGAGCCTTCTTCCAAGCTGAAAAGAGTACCCCCAATTGGGGCCCCAAAGGCAGCTGCAACCCCTGCAGCAGCTCCAGCAGACACAAAGTCCCTTTTGTCTCTGAAACGAAGGGGACAACAATATCAGTTTATCAAAGTAGAGCTCTGGAGGTGCTCAGGTTCTGCAAGGTAAGGAACCATTCCCATTTAATGGCTCAAGGATACATGAGTGGCAGCTGGGAGGAGTGCTGGCCATGGCAGCCAACGCCATTTACTGAGAAGTCATTGCAGCGTCAGTCTCTTCTTCCAGAGCACCAATATAGAACTGAGTACTGAAGTACTACGTGACTGCCCAGTAAAAGAACGAATCCAAACCTTGGGTCTCCAGCATCACTTGAAAGAACTAAGCATAGAGGGATGGGTGAGAGTCTGTTCAGTCAGGTGGATCAGCCTTCTCTGGAACTTATCTTGGTCATAAGGGGTGCATAACCTAGCTTGTTCCCAACAGTGAAATCATTAACCCTTCAGATTGAAGGTTTTAAACAGGTAGTAATTTGTTGGGCAGTACAAGAGAAGAGCGATGAATGCGGAGATCAGGGCTGGGATCCGTTAAGGGCAGCATGAAAGAGTCAAGCTACGTACCCTGACACTGCCTTGCTGCAGCAGAAGACTGCAGGACACTACAGAAACTGAAAAACCAACTGCCCTCCTCCCAAAAATGTATACTTTTTCATCTTCCTCTCCCTTCCCGCTCCATATCTTGGGTACAGTACCTGTCACTGCGGAAATAGGGAAAGTTAAACTGGATCTTCCTCAAAGAGATGCTCTGAAACTACAAATAGAGTAAAGATATCAGGGGGAAAAAAAAAAAAAAAGAAAAAAGCTCTTGTCTACGAAAGCAATCCCTTCTTCCCACCACATTCCTATGATCAGCTACCTCTGGGACAAAGCTCTTTTGCCTCTACAACCCCAGCTACAGAACAGAGAAATGAAAATACACGGAAAACTGCTTTTCGGTAAGCCATCAGTTGATCTATCAGCAGATTTCATTTAGAGACACAGCAGCTGGAAGCTTACTCCCCATACTACTCTTGCAAAGCAGTGACACGAACTGCTGGTCTCTACTCAATTTTCTGGAGAGTTCACTCTTGGCATACAAGAGATGTTTAGCTCTCCTCTCATATGGGTGTCAGAGCAAAAAGCACCTTTCTGGAAAATGGAATCGTTTCTGCTCCCATTCAGCACAGAGACACACCAATACCCTTCAAATAGCACCCACGCTCCTGTGCCAATGAACTATGAGTCAGCAACAGTACCCAGGAGATCAAGAAAGCTCAAAAATTTTTTAACAAAGGTTTCTTCTAGGTCCCAGCTCCTTCAGTCATGAAGGTTACTTGAGACATTAACCATCAGCTAAGGAGGAGTCACTGTCTCATAAGGGAAGTCATCTAGAGCCCTGTTGCTGAACTTCTCTCAGGCCTGTACCACCCACAGAACACGGCACAGGGAGAAAGCAAGGAAGCACCACTGCATTTAAATAGCAGTGATCCCTGTACACTTGGGAAGTCACAGCCTGGAGACAGGCAACACAAGGCCGAGGACAGGAGTCTCGCAACCAGTCTGTCCCCAAAGCGAGTCTAAGATTATCCCAACAAAGCATGTGGAAAGGGAGAAGAACTAGGGTCCCCCTCAGCCTGCTCACTGCAGTCAGCGTTAGGGCCAAGAGACAATCCAACCCAATGCTGTATTTCAGTCAGGAGTCAAGGAAGAGATACTGGGTTTCCACACCTCACCCAGCCTAGAGCCCCAGGCCAGCACTAACCTGTGGCAAACCCGCACCCACGACAGCACCACTGTGGATCATTGGACCCTCCTTCCCGACAAAAAGACCTGGAAAAATAGGATTGATGAGGCAGCATATTCCGCCTCTCCCTCCCTTGCTGTAAAGGCCATGAGAGATTGGCTCACCACTACCAAGCCACGGCAGAGGCCCATAATCTTGAACAAGTGCAGGCAGCTCCTCCCTCAACCCCAGACCAAAGCTCCAAGATTACTGCAGTGGTAACTCCGATGACAAAGATGCTCAGGGCAGAGGGAAGTGCCGACCCTCCCACAGACCTGGCACTCCAAGTGGGCAGGAGGATGCAAAGGTAGCTGTTACAAGGACTCTGAACTTGCCAAGTTACTCCCTGTGCCCCTGCTGCCTACGGCATTGCTGCCTTAAGGCTGCTCTAGATAACACGTTCTGGAGAATTCTCAGGCCTCCCTCTCAGACTGAGCCACAAAAAGCCACTTCTAACTAGCTCACCAAGAAACGCATCCATTCCCCAGATAGGCAGAAGGGTCAGGACTGTTTTCTACTTTGTATATGCATTCAGTCCTGACCCTTCTGCCTGTTTTCTACTTTGTATATGCATTCAGGGCTCATGACTTGGCTCCAGTCCATCAGAATCACTGCACTAGAAAGGCAGGAGAAGCCTTCTGTGCCCTACGGACAGCAGCGTCAGCACTTCCTGCTGTTGTTAATTCCCTACCCCAGCAAGATCAAGATGCCACAGCCCTTCTTACCTCCTGCCACACTGAAGAGCACTCCTATAGCTTTGCACACCACGGTCCGGAGACGCACAACCCCTGGAACCTTTACTCCATTCAAGTAGCACTTAATCTCAGGAATTCCTGATCCGGCTGCCACAGGCTGCAGAGAAAAAACACTGACACTGTGTTGCATCGGTGTCACAGCTGACCGACAATCCTTCACCAGCAAGCACAGCAAGGGACCAAGAGACACTGCCTAGCTAGGCACGAAGTAATTAATACTGCAAAGACTGCTTGAGATCTTGGGGCAGAGCGTGCTGCAGGCAGGCAGGAAAACCTCGCACACCACAGCTGCATGAGGGCAAAGCGTGGCTGTTTAAGCAGGAGCAGTGGACCTCAGTCTTACCTGGATCAGGACTAGAAGACTGGCAAGAAAGACAAAGGTCAGGTTGAACCCCAGCAGCTCCAGGAGGGACAGGGCAAGACATCCTTTCTCAGTGCATTCTTCCACCGCTGCATGGAGAGTCAAGGAGAACAACAGAGCTCCCTCACAACAACACATAATCATTTGGTACTGTTTGGGAGTCCCACTGGCATCAGGAGCCAAGCCTGCATTTCCTAATGCAGCCTAGGCAGCTGACACGAGCCATCAGAAAGCCAGGCTTCCTTTCTAAAGCTCTCAGGTGAGCTGCAAGCGAGGCACCACGCTTTCAGGGACTAGCCTTTTCCCACATGTTGATACTGGAACACGCAGGCAAGTAGAAAACTTGATTAATCAACAAGCTAACCGATGGCAGAAGCCTCCAGAAGAGCCAATCTGCCCAAGCAAAAGCATGGTATTAGAAAGAGATCGCTGGAGTCCAACAGGAGGGCAGACACTATACAAAAGATACAGTTTTGTACTACTCGAAACTTGAGCTGGGTAAAGAACCGTACAAAAAAATCCACAAAGAGGCCCACCTGTGAAAAGAAGACAGACCTACCATTAGAAATTACTACATACAAGTAGGAAAGACCCGTGTCCAGCAACTCCTACTGAAGTTATGCATATGTAGGAGGACAGAGAAGGGAAAAAGAAGTGGTGTCAGAGAAAAGTAAATCTGGAAGCTCAGGTTTGCTGCCTCCCTTGCTTTCACTGGGACAGACCTATCTCAGAATTATTCCTCAAGTGATGCATTTCAGACTACTAGCCTGGCAGTTTCAGAGTACAGAAGAAAGCTAGTCTTAAGCCTGATGCATACAGTGAGCAGAGGTGATTTTTAAACACTCTAGAAAGCACGTCCAGAGAAGACAGTACTCAAAACATTAAATATATTTCAAATGCAAATTGACATCCCATTTTATTAAGTGCTCACTTTGGGCAAGTCTCCCCGTATGCAGAATCAGAGGATTTGCTACAATATTTTGCAAAGAAAACACAGCAAGATCTGAAAGACAAAAGGCTCCCTGGAAAATAATCTAGCAATAACGTGCTGCAATTCCCAAAAAACATCTACACCTACTAAGACCTCCACTTCACGAATAACATGTTTTCTTCTCTTTACTTTTTGGCCATTTACTTCTAATGATCCCTGCTTAGTGTCCTGAAATTTCCTCATTCAAACAGAATGATCCTTACCAGTCCCGTGCAGACTCCAATGGCAAAAACCATCACCCACTTCACTGCTTCATATCTCCGGGCTTTCTGTTTAGGCAGAGGGGAAAAAAGAAAACCCAAGTAAAAATAAAAGCTAAGTCAAAATAACATAGAATTTTCAATCTAACTGAATGAATAGAGCAACAGGAGACGGTGTCAACAGTGAATTGACAACAGGGAGCTGAAAGCAACAAACACCTCACTTGGAGCCTGAGATTCAGAACAGATGCTGGGAGCTGTAGTCTCCAAAACTATTTTTTACCTTTTTCAAAGAGAAACCAAAACAGCAAACAGGATTTGTTTCATAAAGAAGAAGAAGAAGAAGAAGAAAACTTCCTCTGGTAAAGAATATTTCTACAGCTTTACCTCTCAAGCTAATGAAAGAGAAAAGAGATCTTACTTTGTTGTCCATGCTCTCCAAAACTTCCAGGTATGGGTCATTAATGCAACGATCATAATCCAAGCTCTGAAAAAATACCAAGAGGTAAACAAGAGTGAATCAGCTGTGACAGACCATGTAGAAAGCCTAAAGACAGAAGACCTTCTTAAAGGTTACAGAAGTAATTACTGTAGGTTTTGCAAACAAAAGTAAGAACGGAACAACTTCTGGGAACAACCTCATTAAAATATTTCTAATAGAGCCAGACCCTGAGAACTAGGAAATGAAAGATCAGACCAAATTTCCCTGCCCAAGCTGAGACAGATAAGTAAATGAAAGCATATGAGTGACTAAATACAATTTTAATTTAAAGAAGTCAAAATATACAGATTTAGACTTTTCTTTTTTAAATATGCCCAATTTGGCAGTGCAGGGGATAGCATTAGATTTTTATACCTAAGCTCTCACTACAACAGAAGCACTAGATAGCAATTCCTCTCCAGACAAACAATACCACGCACCAGTTCTTAATCACATCCCAATATGAAATCCAAAGCAACAGAGAGTTCCCTGTTTGCACTCACAAAGCACCATTAGCTTCTGCCTGCATCAGCTTCACCTTTCCAAGCCACGCAGTAGGAAGCTGGGCTGGGGGCACCTACAGTAACAGCAATTACTCAAAATAGCTCAGGGCAACCATACAGACATACAAAAAGCAAAAAAGTTTCTGTAAGAATCAGGATCTCATCGATGGAAAGATCTGCTTTTTAGCCAGCATGACAACAGAGACAACAGTAAGGCAACCAGGAACAAGGAGTTATATAGATGCTTTCTACAGGCATGAGAAAATAAGACTGCAATGTGAGAGTTACAGGATCTTGTAAAGAAGGTGATGCTGCAGCAGACTCAGAAGATGAACTTTCTTAACAGGACCCTGATTTGAGTATCAGATGTTCAAGCTCTACTCAGAGCAGAAGGCTTTTACCTAGAACTGCCAAGTATAACAACGAGGAGCAGTTTCCTGCAAGGTGAGCTCCTGATATTTCTTCTGGTGCCAATGCAATGTCAACTGCAATGATGACATTTGAGTGTCTGCCCCATTACAAACTCAGACAGATCAAAACCTGCTTAAAGTTCTTTCCACATTAATTTCACAAGCTCAGGTTGCTTCATTTCCCACCTCATAGTCTTTGCGTGGAAGGATCTCATCTTCTTCTTCATGAGTTTCTCCTAGGATTGTCTTTAAAAGAGAAGAAACAGTGTGGGAACAGAAAATCACCAGAACAAATGCACATACAGGTGCTCGTCAACACAGTTAGCAAAGCCAGAACTCGGGAAGGCCTATTTCATTATTGCTTACAAAACTAAAGCATGGATTTACAGACCACCACTTGCTTTGAGGTAACTGGACATAGTTTTTTATCTTAAAATTGTTTACGCTACGTACATTTGCGTACGCTACGTTACTTCTACACTGGAGCTCCCCACATGGCAGCAAGGCAGAGCATCAAACTCATATCACGGCTTTCTTCACAGCAACAGGCTAAAGGAGAGCCAGGTCACAGGGAAACAGGGGACAAGAGACTGGCACAGACAACACCCCCCAACGACGGGCAGCTGGAAGGACCCCCTGCCCCCTACTCCCCTCTAAGGGCGGCAAGGGCTGCTGCGCAGGCCGAGGTACCAGGAGCAGGGTCTCGGATACCAGGCCCCAGGGCGCCAGGGCGACGCCCCCAAGGGCCGCCCGTCCTCAGGCAGCTCGC